CAGCAGTTATCAGTGTCCATTTCATCACCCACCTTGGGTTCTAGTACCTCCCTGGACTGCAGCTGTTGTACCATATCCAGCCCTCTCCTAGCTCAGGATACCACTCCATCCCATGCTGATGTGCCCACAAGCCACGCACGGCACCCACCACGGTCCTACACAACCCGTGCAACCAGTCCTGCACCTCCTGCTCCTGTGGGCCAGCAGCCAGGCGCCCCACAGCTCCGCCAGCAACACCTCCCGTGAGTCAGAGAGGAGCCTGGCACCACCACGCTTGCGGGCAGATGAAGTTTCTCTCGAGCTGGTTCCCTGCACCGATTCCCTTTCGCAATGCAGCCTGTCAGCGTGGCCTTTGGATCCACCGGGAGAGCCCGTGGTGCTGTCAGCCCAGCCGGTGCCCTCCTGGCACAGAAACGCCTCCAGGACAAGGGCAGCAACACAGCAAAGTCCTCCAGGACTTGGCTCCATGCTCTGCTTTCCACCAACACCCAGGTGGAGATAAACGTCACGTTCTCCAAAGGTGCCACCAGCCTGGAAAGCACCAGCAAGTACACTGGCAGTCGGAGGAGGAGGCAGGATGGTTCCTTCTGCCTCCAACAGGTTTCCTAGCTGGACAAACGCCAAGGTCCAGTGACAGGCTCCCGGCACTGCTCATCCTGGCCAGAAACCTGACCCCAGCTGGACTTTGCCCGCCATGAGATGGCCTGGGAAGTCTGAATGGAAAGAGATGGGAAGCATGGGCTGGGGCAGGGATGAGAGGAACGTAATCAGGGCTGGAGCTGCCAGGGGTGTTTAGAGCTGCGGGTTTATCAAACACAATATCATCTCCCCCCCCCCCTCCCGCCCTCCACGTCCCTGGAATATAAAGGGAGTGAAACAGAAGCCGTGTGGGAGATAAGGCGGCAGCACCCAGCAGCTCATATGGAATTACTGCAGTGACCTTGACCAAGAGTGGCCAGGTGGGAGAAGGACACGCCTGCGGGGCTAGGTCCCCATGGCCAGCGGGCCGGCGCAGGGAGCTGCGGGGGGCGAGGAGGACCGGACAGCGGTCGGGATGGGGGGATGCCAGGGGGCAAAAGGGACCGGCGAGGGGAGGGGGGCCGGGAGGGGGATTTACAGCTCCATCCTTAATCAGGTGCAGGGCTGAGAGGAGCAGCGGCCGCCATGGGCGAGCAGAGGGAACGGCCCGCAGCGCCCTCCGCCGCGCCGCCGGCTCCCGCAGCCGCAGCGGGGCCCGAGCCTGGCCCAGGAGGCGTCCCGGCACCGAGCTGCCCGCCGGGGCCCGGCATCCCCCGCAGCCCGCGATGCTCCAGCGCCCAGAACCTTCCTCCTCCTCCCCCCAGCGCAGCGCGGAGCCCGGAGCGCGCAGCCCCGGTTACCTGCGCGGTGCCGCCGCCGCCGGTGCCGGTGAGCGCGGGCTGGAGGCGGCCGCAGCCGCCCGCTCCTGCTGCGCGCCGCCGAGTTGCCGGGCTGGCTGGGCAGGTCCCGGCGGCAGGTCCCGGCTTAACCCCTTCGGGGCTTCCCGGGCACCGGCAGAGGCGCTCCGGCCCGGCCCCGGTGCGGTGCGGCGCAGCGCGGTGCGGTACCGGCCGCGGGGGATGCGGCGCCGAGCCCCTGCTCCGCCGCATGCGGGAGGCGGGGATGCTGTAAATGCTCAGTCACTGCCCCTTCTCTGGCAGCCAGCCAGGCGCTGCTCGCTGCTGCCTGCGCGCCTGTAGTCCTTTTTTTTCCCCTCTCCTCCCCCCCATTATTTTTAGACAGAAATCCACGTCCCCGGGCGCGGAAGAGGTTCCGAAGGATGCCGACCCTCCCCACCACGCAGCTCCCCCTCTGCTGCCCAAGGCCACGCTCGCAATTTGGGTTCCTTAATTTTTTTTTTCGTTTTGCTAGGATCTAAATTTGGAGCGGGCTCTTCCCCTGCTCTGAACAGTCCCGGAGCCTGGCTGGGGGGAGAGAGAGAGAGAGAGAGAGAGGCATCAGATGACATGACAAAATAAGTCATGTCTCTCATCATTTCAATGCCACCCCCTCTCTCTCGGCCTCTGCCTTCCATTTTAATCACTGACAGCCCTTCAAGTATTATGGATATATATAATCTTTTTAATACCATTGACATTTTTCACGATGGAAAACATCTCAGGGGTGCTGAGACATTCTGGGGGGGTAGGGGGGTTGTGCCTTCCTGCTGCTGCTTCCACCAGCCACACAAAGTGCTGAGCTGAGACCCATCTTGCCCCAGGGTCCTGCCTTAGGTCTCGGGGGAGGCCATGTGCCTCTGGGGACTTTGCAGATCTCAGCAGCCTGACATTCCCAACAGGCTCTGGCCGTGCAGGCTGAATAAGCATCCAGTCCCACTCCCAGCTGCAGTGTGGGAAAAGAGCATATCCAGCATCCAAACCCTCTGCAGGTCAGCCCAGAGAACATCCCAGCTCGGGAAGTGGCAGGCATTCTTCATGGCAGCCCAAGCTCCAAGCTTTCCTCTTCCTTATTCCCAACGCTCCTGCTTCACTGTGTCAGATGGTAAGGCAGACAGCTTGCCTTTCTGCAGGCAGTGATTTTTTTATGAGCAAAGTGAACCTCTCCATGGGGAAAACACCCCAGGAGGTGTTTTTGGAGCTGTACAGGACCCAGCAAAGCACTGCTTGCCCTCAGCAGAGCCTGGCTGCTCACCCAGACCCCCTCTGCCATTGGAAATGTACTGTCATCTTCTGCTTGCAGCATTTTCCTGCAATTCCCCCTCTTCCCATTCTCTCTGGTGGTGATGGTGTCTTCAGGCCCCACTCACATGATGAGTTTGGAATGCAACTCCCAAGGCCAGGAAGGTTGCTCACCTTGGTTATTTAGCAAACACAACACAAATTATTAACACTAATACAAATAATGCCCATGCTTGGGAGAGGAGAAGGATTAATTTCCTTGCCTGGCTGCAAGGACTCAGCCTTACAGTATCCTGCAGAGTGCAGGGCTGACAGACCTGAGAGTCTCCTTACTGAGGACAGAGCCCATATCTCACACTAGGCCTGTAAATAAGAGGTGTATGTTTCTAAAGCTACTCTGTGGAAGCCACCTCTAATTCCACTGCAGTTCCTGTTCTGTTACTTCCACAAATCAATGCAAAAAAAAAAGAAAAAAAAAAAACCAAAACAGCTGGCTCACAAAAAGCTGCAACAGCCAGAGATAGAGTAGAATACCACAGTTGTTGGCCCAGCACATCCCTTCCTGAATGCTCCTTGTACCTTGTCCCCTGAGGACAGTCTTGTCCAAGGCTGGAAGAGGCACTGGCAATAATTATGACAAAAATTATGACAAGAAATTAGACTATTCACAGGTTTGTTCTCCTTTGCAGAACTTCTATGCCGCCCACCTGCCCTCTGCTACCAGTCTCCTCCCTGGAAGGGAAGATGCCAGCACAGGACATTCTTCCATTGTACGTGACTGATGTAAAACTTTCATCTACCCGGTGTTGTATTAACAGATTTTCCTGTGGGTAGATGAACACATGGAGCCTGGTTTCAATAGGATTGAAGATATGGATCCATGGAGACATGGATGGGCTTTGCCATCCTTTAAGGTAAAACTACCAAATGAAAGGATTCCTGCCTCTTCAACAATCACGTGTCCTCTAGAACATGCAGACTCCCTCTCTCCTAGAAACAGATGGCTTGAGCAGTTTGAGTTGGGCAGATTCACAAAGCTGATAATCATCTCCAGGGAGGCAGGAGCTATTGTCAGAGCCTGTGAGACACACCCCAACTTCAGGCCTTTTTCCCCCTAATTCTCAAAATGTTGCTGAAATTCTCACTCCAGGAATGCTGAGCAGAGACATTCCCTTTATGGGTCCGTGCCCACTAAGCCAGAGGAGGCTCCTGCTGCTACAGAAACCAAAATGCTTCCCCACACCCCACTAAGAGAAAATATCTCAAAAGATGAAGAGACTCACCTGGCCAGTGAAAAAAACAAGCTGTTCTTTGCCATGGAGCCAAGGGGAGAAACAGATCCTCTCCCCAGAGACAGCACAGGAGTTAAAATGAGAAAGCAGAAGACACCAATGCAGCAGAAGGAGCAGTCATTTCACACTACATGTGCAGCTGCAAGCCCTGTGCCAGCCCAGGGTCAGGGGCACGTGCCTAAGGGACACACCTGGAGCCACTGAACTCATGATTGAGCGATGCTGAGCATGGATAGGCATCTGCTGCCTAAGAGCTCCAGCTGGATCACCATCCCCAGTTAATGATCTACACTGATGTCACTGCTCTGCAGGGCCAAAGCCTTTCTGGGGAATGCTGTCCAGCTACTTTAGCAGGAAGGTGGCACTTACTGACACCAGGTCAAGACAGATGTCACACAGGGCTCACTCTGCCTCGAGAACCTGCTCCAAGTCCAATGATGACTCCACAAAAAGCCCTATTCCAGCAGTGATGCACACACATGGAAAATGGTGATGAGCCCAGACACACAGGCAGATGGACAGACAGGAGGGGTGGCTCTACCATGAGGACTTATCATGGCTCACAACTTCTACAGCATAAATTTCACTCATTTAAGAGTGATCAGTCTTGGAAGGAAGCATGCAAAACCTGGCTCAGAGTGGGGCATGGGTACCTGGAGCTCAATGGAAAGAGATGGCAAGATCAGCACAAGAAGGAAATCTGAGTGCAAAACCAGGCAGGGTGGCACACCCCTTGGGAGAGTGTTTTTACTGGGATGCAGAATGCTTCAGAGAAGCCTCCTGTCAGCAAGTCCAAAGCAAATCAAGACATAAAGAATATACCTCATGTTAAATGTCACTTTTAAATTCTCCTTTAGCAGAAATACCAGTATTTTCCAGTCTTAATATTTTCTGAGGTGGTAATACTTCTTGCCTTGTCTCTTCTTGGCAAGCATCATCTGTAGCAGTAACAGATGATCTAGCAATAGTCTCACATCACAGTGTGTCAGAAAAGAGGCAGCCTGGTATTTGTAATCACTGAATCACTTCAGAAAGAAGAATCTCCACTCCATCTGTGTAAATATGGTTATTTATTTTATTTTTTTAAAAGCAAGTCTATTTCTACATACAAAGGGCTTCACTCCCACTTCAGAGCAAGTTACTGCTTCAGATCCTCAAATAAAGACACCATTTCACTCACCATTGAATCTAGCAGCCTGTAAACCTGCAGAAATTGAGAGAAGACAGCTGCAGTGAAAACACATGAGGAAATCTTGAGGCTGAGACTGACAGAGATGGTTTCTGACATTTTCATATGGGCACACACATAAGCACACAGAAGTGGCAGCCTGCTGCTGACAGAGCTCTAGTAATAAGTTCCCTGGCTATGAAGTGTGTTTAACATTATCTGCAGTACAATTAATTCAGCTGATCCCTCCAGAGTCTGCAAGCAACGCTAAAGACATCCCAGATAGAAGTCCCGCATGTGGCTGTGTGATGGCTGAATTTCTGCTAACAGATTCCAGGCTGAAACAAATTCATTTGGATTTCACACTTACCTTGCTGCAGCACAAGGGACATATGTCTGCCAGTTTTCTGAGTTTAACAAAATGCTTGCCTCTCCCCCTGAGCCTCAGTGTGCCTTACAAGCAAAGAACAAAACCAAGACAAGGACACAAGCTTTGGTCAGACTTACTTCAATGTAGAGCTTTTCCTGGTATGCTTCAAGTAAAATAGAGTCCACCTGCTCCTGAACAGGTTCTGCCCCATCTGTAGTTGCAGTTTCCTCTTTCACCTTCTTGTCATCTCTTCCTTTCATGGACTCTGCTCTCCCTTTCATGTCCTGCACAGAAATGGAAGATAGTTGCTTCTCATCTTTTGCTTTCAGCTTTTTGCTGCCTGAATGATCCTAATCAGGAAAAGACCAAGGGAAAAAGGGACATAGGTCAGGACACTGCTCAGACTGCTTCAAGATGCATCTCCCAGCAGCAGCACCTCTTTCACTGGGTTGGAAATCAGCTCAAACTCAGGGTACACAACCTCAGGATGATCACATTGTCTCCAGCACTCAGGGTTCACCAGGCATCCCAACACCTACCGCTTTCCCTGATGTCCCTCTACTTTTTTTGCCTTCTTTATCCATTTTCTCTTCTTTCTTACTAGCTATTTTGTCTTCCTTTCCTCCTTTTTTTGTTCCTCCTTGCTTTACTTCCTCTACAAAAGAAAGGATTTCAATTAACCAAAAGCATCCACACATCCAGAAAGTCCATCCCACTGCACTAGCACAGTGGGAATGTGTTACTTTTGCAGTATATTCTCCTCTTTTTATTAATCTGAGATGTACTGCACTGAAAAACAATAGACTTGAAGACTTCTTTATTTAAATAAGGAATGAGGAGGTGTCATTGAAGCAGTATTTTCTGGGTCAGTCTGTGTGAAAACCATGGCTAAACCTAGCTGAATTAAAAGGCATTTTTTGTGGGGGTGTTTTTTTACTGATGCCAAACCACAGATCCCAATTAGTATTGTTAATGTCACACAATCTGTCAGTTTTCTTCCTGATGCTTCTTCCCCAGGGAGACATGTTTAAATTGACATTTCAGTTCAAATTCATCAAGTTTTTTGTATTTCCAACAGCCCACAGAAGGCAGCTGCTGTGCTAAAACCACCATTTACCTGTTTCCTCTGGAACAGCTTCTACATAGGTGTCCTCCTTAGTCAAACCAAGCACGGATCTCAGCCTCAGAGAGCAACTCACCAAGTCATCAATTGCTCTACGCCACAGCTGGAGGCTGAGAAAATGGTCAAGATCAGAAGGGAGACAGTGAAGCAACTACCACCTTGTTTGACCCTGTGCCCAGAAGTGAAGCTGTCCTGTGCAATTAAGCCAACAAAACAGTACCCACTGTCTAAACATCTGTGCAGGGGGATGCTAAATTGCTTTCCTCATATTAGAGACCTCCAAGGTCTCAATGGTTTGCAAATCAGCAGGCTCCCAGGAACCCATAAATATTACTGTGAAACTAGGTCTGCTCCTCAACGTGACACATGTTGGTAAATTAACCTGCTCTGTGTTTACCAAGAGGAACCTGCATCCTTCTAATTTAGAAGCAACTCAAAGCTGTTGATATGTTTACAGTCTGAAAGCCTGAGCAAAGAACAGAGAGACTGTATGAGGGAGGAGACAGTTATCTGAGTAAAAGGGTACAGAAAATACCCAAAGGTTTCATAAATACAGTCTGGAATAATCTTGCCAGAAATAATCTTGTACACTCTCCAAAATTACATGCATTTAATAGTCTAAACTTATCCCTAGGAAAAAAAAAAAAAAAAAAAAAAAAAAAAAATATGACAAAAAAAAAAAAAAAAAAAAAAAAAAAGGCATTTGGGTCCTAGACAGCTGCTACAATTAAGCTATAAAAAAACAGGGTGTAAAGATGACTTCTAGACCTCATATAATTATGTGCACTCTGAGGACAACACTTGCAAGAGAGTTTGCTGAGGCTGTTGATCAGTGTTTCCACAAGCTTTTCCTTGCAAAGGAAACCCACCAGACTGGATACAGCAGGTCTGACTGAGTTGGCCTCTGTTCAACACACAGCTCCAGAGCTGCCTTATTGAGTTGGGTCAGTGCTTCTTCCTGCTGTTCTTCCCCAGAGATTGACATTATAGCCTGTGAGAGAAAATTCACAGGGGCTGTGAAACACTTCTCAGTCTTTATTCTCAGTCCCTGAGCTCAGTGGAGCAGCCCACAGCTCTCTTCCTGGACACTAGTCTGAAACCAGGCTGCACTGGGCACTTACACACCCAGATGAGGCTTCCTACACACCTAGAATATGGCCAAGGTACCCAAGATATGCAGAACAAACCCAGATTTCCTCATCAGACTGATATTAAGCCCCTTTGCAACTTCAGGTGTTCTGGGAAACAGAGATTCTATCAAGCTAGAAGGCTCCCTAGTAAAGCTTTATAAAAACAACAGAGACATTTCCAAGAGAGCACTACAGAAAAATCATTGACAGAATCCAAAGCACTCTTGCTTTAATCTAAGGAAGTCTGTACATTATCCACAGCCTGTCATGAGTGCTCCCTTAGTTCTATGATGAATAGGAAGGACTCTCAAAGGAGAAGAGCCCCTGGGGGAGACACAGGAGGCTGTAAACCCAGCCTGCCTCCACATTCAGTCCTGGGATGACAGAAAGCTAATAGGGGAAGAGCTTAAAATATCTATTATATTGTGTGCTTCTCTTTTCTTCTTCACACAACAGCCCACAAAGTCTCTCTTGAGAATCTCTTTACAAGATCACTGAAGGTGTGGTCAGCAGAGCAAACACACATCCTAAAAGTAAATCTTGTAAATCTCACAAACTCCCAGCATATTGGCAGCAGCCCTTCAGGTGGGCTCCACTGGGGCAGTGTGAGCATACAGTTTGTAGGGGAATTAACACCCCATCAGCTTGTGGGAACAGAGGTGACCACCTGTTTAAGGTCCTCGAGGGAAAGGTTCCATCCTGAAGGACCTGCTTCTTCCTTCTCAGTGCTCCTTTCCCTTGGAGCCTCCTCTAATGTGTACTTCCCACATGGGAGCTCAGTGGTGCTGCTCCAGGCAGAGGGAGTCTCCAAGGTGCTGTCTTGGTACTCCATGTCCCCTGCAGTGCTCCTCTGGTCCAAGGACTCTTCCTCCTCCAAGACTGAAGGCACAGGCAGGTGCAGTCTCCATAGTTTATGCAGCTGTTTTACCACTTGATGCTGGTAATGCAACTGTAACAATGGGGGGAAAGGTAAACATGAGCTGCACCTTCCCTCTTCAAACCCAACTGTTAAAGCCTCCACAACAGACTCTGCCAGCTTCAGAATACCAGGGATGCAGCAGCCCCATGGATCTTCCCTCCCCACTTATTTCAGTTGTGCAGTCCATACAGTAGCAAGCATCACCTGGGGATTTTTCCTGTGGAACAGCTCTTCCTCTGTGACATAGGCATCCACGGGAGATGGGGTGCGCTCAGGCGTCCGAACTTGGTCAAGAAGTTCATTCAGGATGTCTTTCACTATAGAAGCACCTTCTCGAGCAGCCAGCTCACTCTGAGGCACCACAACAACAGCATGTGTGAGCACTCATTCCATATGCAAACACACAAACTCAGTCCCACCTGTAACCACACTATTCATTATACTGAGCTTTAAGGACATGAACAACTGCAAACCCCGCTGAGCAGAGCAAAACTTCCAACAGCTTTTCAAATAAACTCTACAAATCCTGTCCCCAAACTATACTTCTCAAAGCATGGTGTAATTTTCAATTTATACCTTAACTGTTATAAAAGTGTACAGCAGTACACTACTTCCCACTAAGTAACTAATGAAATTAATTACCAACAGAAATTTCATTCTTTAAAGGACCAGTGTGAGCACTTTAGGAGACAGAGTCATGTCTTTAGTGACAACATTACAATAGACTGCAGAGTTCCTCATGTCATTTAGCAAACCTGCACAAGTATGTGCAGACATTCTGTAAATCTCACTCTCAGCAGTAATTGCACAACAATAAAAATACCATGTTGTCCACTCCCACCCTTATCCTCTATTTGCATATAAAGTTCAAAGCTCAGTTACCCAGCTACATGCTTGGTTACCTCCAATTTCTCTCTGAAGTCAGCAAATTTATCCTCATACACAGCAATTCCCCAAAGGGTCACCTGAAGCAGAGCTCCTCCTAATAACAGAGGATGTGTCCTAAATTCCCAGGGCTCACTAAAAATGCCTGCTCTCTCTGACTTGAAAATAAAAGAAAACCTCCGACTTTCTCCAGGCAAAATTACACCTGAAATAAGAGAGAAAATGCATTGGTGTGCATGAAACCACCCAGTTAGCCTGACCCTTTTCCAACACCACCCCAGGTGTCCTTATCTTTCTAGGAGGCTCTTTCCCCATAGTTTAGCTGGCTATCACACTTCATCCAGCTATCATTCTCCTTCCAGATTTACTCTCAGTCCCTTATGTTCCTGAACTGGCATTATTCCCATTGCACTCTCCTACAGCAAGTTCAGTTTTCTCTCCAGAAGATTATGACCCATTTTCCACCAGAAAATTATTCACTTCTCAATATTCCACCCATTTATACTCAGAGCAGAAGCCTCTTTCCTTTAAGTTCCAGGAGAGGGATCTGCCTTGCACAGCTCTTTTGGGGTGAGTCAGCTCTGACACCCAGGGTGGCTTCCTCAAGAGAAATTACCCAGCAGTGCTCTGCCATTAGTCAGACTCCACATCCCAGGTAACTCCCAAATTCCTGCTCTGTGCTTGAGGTACAAAGGTCTTGGAGATCAGCAGGTCTCATACCTGGTCTGGTATCAAAGTAAAAACAGGGCACTCTCCTCCCCTTGACTTCTCTGGAGGGGATCTGCTGAGGAAGCCTCATCCAGTTGTACCAAATGGCAGCTCTGCCATCATTGATCACTGTCAGGAAGCTTTCAGCCTTCTCACTAGCCAGAGTCTCAAAGGTGAGCCGAGCAGCAATACCAATTTCCTTCTACAAGGAAGAGGAAAAAGATAACAGTTTCTACTCTGTCTGGTAGGATTTATCCTGCATGAAGTCATAGCTCAAAAAAGGGGCTGAGCCCTTGTAGGAGAACTTGTAAGGCAGGTCCAAAGAAGTGGCCACTATCCAGAGAAAGCCTGGGAATCTGAACTGCACACCACAACCAGAGCCCCTGTGCTCCTAGATCACTCTGAAGCAAACATAGGGATACTCTATTATATTCAGAATAAATCCCCCACTCTGTGGCCTTGGAGTGGCACGTATTGTATAACTGTGACTTGGGAGCTCAGATAGGCTTAGCTTGACTAAACAATTAAAATCTCACAATTACCCTGCAAGCAGTGATGCCCTTGATCCAACGAGCAGGCTGGCCACAGAAAATTAAAGATGGAACTCTTTCAGCTTCTGGAACTGCAGTGAAGAAGCCACCTACGGGGTCACTGCTAAAAAAAAACAAAAGCCAGCATTTTCATGGAGTGAAATTCACTTCCAGAGAGGGGAGAATCAGGGGTGATTTGCAAGACCCTGTAAGAAATAATTCCATTTCATATTTTCTCACACACTAATCTGTTTAGGTGCAGAGCCCTGCAGATGTGGTGAACCCATCTAGCTACATGCCACTGGCAAGGAGGACAGGACAGCCAGAATATTAAAGAATGAGACCTGTCTCAAGTACATGACTGAAAAAGGACAAGAGGCCCTCAGGCTGTGCCTGTAACAGATGGACAAGACAGGGAAAACTAGGAAAGTAATGATGGAAGGGTGGAAAAAGACAGTCAAATGGAGGTAATTGAGAGTAGAATCCCACCCAGCCTGATCTAAGCTCTGAAGCTACAAAGAGTGGAGACTGGAGGAAGAGCTTCAACAAAACTTTTCTCTGATTCTTGCTCCTTAGACACAGGGCCCCAAGGCACAAAGGCTCCTAGATCTGGTGATTATAATATAAGAATATGCCTTTTATTGTGTCCAGTGGAGACTTGTCTTCATTCTGGATAAGAACAGCTAAGGATATCCTCACAGACTGGTAGTGCACACCAAAATTCTTTATTTTGCCACAAAGTATGCCATGAAGTAGAACTTACAGGGTTTCAATTTCTTCAGAAATGGTGGTATGTAGAAAAGCCTCAGCTGAGACAGATGTGAAAGGCTGCCCTTTCCCAATCACCTCCAGTCCTTCCAGATCCTGGACATACACAGAAATTACCAACTCACAGTTGCTCTTTTACATAGAAAGGACATTAAAACACCAGACAAATGCACTAACTCAGCCAAGTAAAGTGAAGTTGTGATTTCTTCCTCCTACAATGGTTTTTGGAGGCATCCAAAAAATGCTCAAGGGACACAGGAAAATAATCAATTCTGAGATTCATAGAATCCTAGATGATTGCACCCCACAGTAGCAATGATGCACAGAGAAAATGTCCTTCACATGTTTCTCATCCTCAGAGACAGGTTTCAAAGACAAAAAAAAGTGAGTTTTTTCCTGTTTGTAGGAGGAGGGGCCATCTGCCTTCAGGAGATTATTTCAGAGTGTGTCTTCCACATGGATAAAGATCTCTTCCCTCTGCCCCATAGCACTAAAAAGTCCTCCACCAGTACTTGGCAGATTTTTCTTTGTCTAGGTCCTGGAAGCTGCATGCTGCTGGTTTGGCATCCTATTCTGAGGCCCCTAGACCACTCCATGCAACATTTCAGGAGGTCAGACAACTCTTTCATAGGTGTGGCCCTTTGGAAATGTGGGAACTTCCATGAAAAGCACCGTGGGACCAAGTTTTAGTTTTCTAATGCCTTTTTCAATCCTCCTGGAGTTTTTCAAACTCCTGGTAATTTTGTTACTCTACAGCATCTGACAAGAATGTCCTTGTTCCTCTCACCGGCTTATGGAAGCCCAGCTCCTCTAGGAGAGATTTTAGCTCCTGCTGTCGATGTTTCAGGAAAAGACTCTTATCCCAGTTTAGGTGGCAAGGAATCCTCTTCGGAGGCTTCAGACCTGTGGAAATACCCATACAAGAGCTCACTCTCTACACACTCACATGCCTAATCAAATTTCATTCTCTGCCAAACTTTGGCCTTGTAGTGTTTTAAAGAGGAGGCTCAACAGGGAAGGAGCTGCTTCCTGCACACTTGTGTCCCATTTCTTTGGAATCACCTCTCTGCAGTGTTCCCTTACCTGTTTCCCTCTGGACAGTTCGGGGTTTTCCCACATGCGTGAGTGGTTCTGGGTGCCCACACTCTGTCCGGGTCAGGGTCACAGTCAGCCCGGTGAGTTCATCCCCAATTTGCTCAGGAAGGCTCCAGAACTCACTTCCCACTCGGTATCCCTAGGGTGGCAAAAAAAAGGCTCCCACTGATTGTTGTGGATAGTTATGCAGATACCTGCTATTTTCAGAGGCACTTGAAGCTAAAAAGAGGTCTAACCCTGACTATTTGAGCATTTTAAAAGTCTATGAATTATCCATTTCTGCAGAGCAAGCCAAAATTTCTATCAGGCTGCTGTCAAAGACAAAAGAACTCTCTTCTATCTAGTGCACATGAAATTTGAATGATATTAAAATAAAGTCTCAAACAAATGCAAATTCTTTGATAGTGCTATAAATGCGAAAAAAGAATTTTAACACAATACTCCCATAACCGTCCTGCCTTACCCATCCCCTTTTGTCCATGGCAATCACTAAAATCCAAGCCTGAAGCTATCAGACCTTTCTGCCCCTGGAACAGCAATTGTGACATGTGCCCATGGCACTTCCCAGGTCACAACAGTCTTTAGTGAGAATCATGAAATGCCACTTGCTCATCACCACTTTCCCCTGACTGCTACGCACAGCACAATTCAGTTTTTATTTTTCGTGTCCCTGAAATCTCTGCTCAGACACCAAGCTGAGGGATTCAGAGTGGCTTTGATAAACACCTCCTGACAGCACTTCAGAGACTTACTTGGAGCAGTGTCTGTGCTGTGTCGCAAGAGCAGCACAATCAGGACACGCAGGAAGTGGGGCTCTCACCTTTCCAGGAAATAGGGCAGGGAGACTCCGGTCAATGAGGTCACGTTCTTCCTGGATTTGCCTGTAATTGTCTGACATGTTCATCAGCAATTCATTCTCTGGCCTGTGAAGAATTCCTATACATAAAAAAACATCACATCATTGGTGCTGCACTTCTGGGCACACCCTTTGCCACTGTTATGGTTCACCTGTAACCCACTTACACTGCTCCCTGCCAAATCCACTGCCCTCTCCCCAGCTAGAGCCACCAGCTCACCTTTCCACCACATCCAGAGCCAACAGCACGAGCAGTGTGGGAGCTCTGAGAACATGGAATTAGACTGCAATGGCAGTAGGATTAACCCTGGTTGGCAACGACTGCTGCGGCTTGGGGACATCAAACTTTTCCACCTGCACACAGCATTTCACAGAATTCTCCTTAGACCTCCTTAGCTTCTCTCACCTCCTAGGTGTTTCTCCTGCTTTTTCCTCATTGCCATATGATGCCTCCAGTTCTGGAAAGCTTTGTGCTCTACTAGGTGGGCCTGACGTGCCTTTTCTTTCTTCTCTCCTCCATGTTCCTCTTCTAAAGCTGCTGCAGTAACATCTGGATGAGGCACCTTAATAGCATCTGCTAGCTGATGAAAAATGAAACATTAAATTAACCTCTCCATGCACACCAAAACAGGAATGGGAGAGGGAAGGAGGGAAGAATTCTTCAGACTGATAGCACTTTTACATTAGCAATCTGAGAGGAAGGAAACCAGGGCAATAGAGACACACTAAGATACAATGGAAATATTTATCTGAGCAATGACACTCCAGCAATGGCATTTCAACACCAGCTCTTCTCTGAAGCCATCAGCAGGGCACATATGGTATGGAAGAGGAAGCCTGTGTAATTGTTCCCTGCGTGACCTGGTCCTGGACTACAACAGGACTATAAACCAGCTGGTGCAGTTTCTCCAAAGGCAACCCCCCCCCCAGAGTGTGATGAGGCTGGGAAAATCACACCTCAGGCCTGCCCTGCTCCTGATAGGTGCTGGAAAGCATCAAAAGGTACTGCAGGCACACACTCTGCCTCTGGAAAAGTGCTATGCAGCACCATTTTTCTAACTCTACAAACCAACCTGAGTGTTTCTTCTGGCCAAGGCTTCCATCCTAAACTCCTGGAGACTTCCCAAAATATGATGAGGGAGGATCTCTTCACAGCCATCATCAAACTGTCTTGATCCTACAACACATATATAAAAATACCCAAGCCCAGAGCCAGGTCACTACAGTTTGGCTTAGCAAAACCAAAACCCAGAGGCAAGAACTGAAGTTGAATCCTACCAGGAAAAGTCAGTGGTGCCCTAGGTGCCCTGGGGGGAAGAGGATGTGCTACGAGATGTGCCACCTCCTTGGGTCGGTGTTTTTGGACAAGGTACTTCTTCTGAACTAGAATTCTCCCAGCATCACGGGCAAGGCGTGGAGCATGAAGCTTGAGGAAATGAACAGTCACAGTGCAATTAGGTACACACTGACTCACCTTTATTCCATCTGAGCCTCTCAGGATATGCACAGTAGTCATGTCAGTGCACTTCCTGCAAGGTCCTGCGAGTCCTGGAGAGGGACTTTTCACACGGACATGTAACGACAGGACAAGGAAGGAATGGATTCCAAGTAAAGAGTAGGTTTAGATTACATCTTAGGAAAAGTTCTTCCCTGTGAAGGTAGTGAGGGCCTGGCGCAGGGTGCCCAGAGAAGCTGTGGCTGCCCCATCCCTGGAAGTGTCCAAGGCCAGGCTGGATTGAGGGATTGGAACAACCTGGAATAGTGGAAGGTGTCTCTGCCCATGGCAGGGGGGGTGGAAATAGATGAGTTTTAAGGTTCTTTCCAAGCCAAATCTTCTATGATTCTTCCTCTACAAGACACCTTGCATAGCTGTGCAGATACCAGCTTAGTTACTATCTCACTCGTCTGGATCTTGCTTTATAACAGGGGGACAAAATGAAAGTTTTATATCACTTTCCAGAAGATATTTCTGCTGCTGTGTCACTCAAATGCTTCCACTCACACACTGTGATCTGAGCTTTGCAAGGAAAGTCATGAGAGCTATGAAACAACTTACAAGTCTTATTAGATCAGAAAATTGAAGATGTAATTTTGAAGAGGCAGATGACTTATGCTTCAGTTTGAAAGAACTGTATAGGCACTTATAATCCTTTACTTCTAGCAACTAAACCTGATGAGCTGACATTTTATCATTATAAAAGTCCTGACAGACAAAATGGCAGGAAAACTCACCTGCCAGAGTGAGTTTTGGCTTAACTAAATGGGTAGCACCCTCTGTTAAACACCCAAAAGGAGAGTGTCAGTTAGGGAAGCTGTTTCTAGCAGTAAAAATACTCATACATACTTTCTCCAGGTCCTCCACCTTAATTTCAAGTGCCTGGATGTCCTTTCCTTTCAGAACATATGGAACAGGCTCAGGCTCAGGCTCTTCTACAATTGTTGAAGAGGACTGTCCAAAAGTCTTTTCCTTCCTGCCTGAAAAACAGATGAAGATACTTCTTCAGTCTCCCAAGGAAGCACCCTATTCCTCTCAGGCTGGTTAATAATTTTCCAGCTGAACTATGTTTTGTGATTATTTCTCTTCAAGGTTGCAACAGACAAATTCTGCATTTCTTGTAATTAAAAAAATGAACCTCTGAGAAGCTGCAAAGACCAAAGTGGGTCAAGTAGGAGTGAAGTGTCTCACACTTTATTCAGATGGAAGACAACGGTAAGATAAATGCAAATAAAGACAGATCCCTGCAGGTGGAACAACACATTCCTGGGAAGTTTCCAGCTCCAAGCACACAGATTCCCTGTGCCGGGTTTGGGTAACCAACCCTGGATTTCAGCAAGAGCAGCTCTGAAACACCAACCCGGGCCGAGCCGGCTGCGGGCCCGGCCGAACTCGGGGTCCCCACCAGGGGCTGCTCCCCCTCACCCCGGGCCCTTCCCGCTGGGACCCGCTCCTTTAAACAAAAACACAGAATTCACAGTCAGGACAGGCGGCAGTGGCCGGGGAAGGGGCCGGGTCCGGCCGCTTCCACCGCGGCCCGCCGGGCTGAGGGAAGGAGCCGGTCCCTGCTCGTTCCACCGCGGCCCGCCGGGCTGAGGGAAGGGGCTGGTCCGGCCGCTTCCACCGCGGCCCGCCGGGCTGAGGGAAGGAGCCGGTCCGGCCCTGCTGCCGAGCCGTGCCCCGCTCCCGGCCGTACCCGGAGGAGTCCGGGCCCGGGCCCGACCGCCCCGCCGCGCCGCCATGTCCGGCAGCGGCGCCGCCTGTCGCGACAGGGCCGCGACAGGCCCGGGCACCGCCCCCTGCTGGCGCGGCGCGGCACCGCTCCCCGCGCCACGCGCATGCGCCGCGCTGCCGGGACACCGGGACAGCGGGACACCGGGAATGTCGGGGCTCCGGCACACCGGGATATCGGGAATGGCGGGGCTCCGGGACACCGGGATACCGGGAATGGCGGGGCTCCGGGACACCGGGATATCGGGAATGGCGGGGCTCCGGGACACCGGGAACACAGAACTCAGGGCGGCGGGACGCCGGCATCCAGGACACCACCTGGCACCGGGATAACCGGACGCAGCGGGATTTTGGGGTGCCGGGACACTGGGAGATAGAACAGCAGGGCGCCGGGACACCGGGTTCGGGACACCCGGAATACCGGGATACCGGCAGTAACACCTCCCCCCGGCCCCAACACCCCTGAGCCAGCACACTGCTCTTGGTTTTGAAGCGATACGCGGAATAAATAAATAGACTCCACAATCTGGTGTAGTTATGGAGTGGGTACGGATTGCCAGCTCCCGGCACTAGTGAGATCACTCTCCAAGACTTGTGTGCTGAGCCTTAGTCTGACCCAAACTTTTATACACGAAATTGTTCTATATGCAATACATTACACAACCTTTCCATGCAGATTCAACCCCTGGACCCGCCTGTCCTCGCCTCTCATGCTAAATAGGTCCACGCCCTTCTGGCGTGGTTTGCTGTGGTGGTCTCTTGAGGCTGAAGGTTGTGGTCTTCCTCACGGTTGAACTTTTAAACTTTTCTCCTTTGCACATGCACTTTCGGTCCTTTGGTGCTTATGTGAGTACCATCTGTCAGTCTCGGTAGGCTTAGGGACAGAGGAGACTCTTTATCTGGGTTCTTTGTATCTTCAGTCCTTTTTGGTGTTGTTCTTTATGCAAGCTTCAGAAATGTGCATTTTCTTATGCCCTTTTGTACCTTGGCAGATGTTTCTTAATTAAAAGGTTAAAATTCAAGACATAACTCTACAAGCTAGAATATAAATGCTTAATTTATTTTGTTAACTTAAGTGCACTCCCAAAATCTCTGTTTCAGTTTATTATCTGTTATTATCCGTTACGGCTGCTCACAGTTCATTCCTCAGCTGGACCCCCGCTCAGTGGGTGCCGGGCAGCGCCCAGCACCCGCCGCAGCTGCAAGAGCAGGTCGGGCAGCAGCGAGTCCAGCACGGCCAGGCCGGCCCAGGTGCACCGCAGGCCACTGGGAAAGAGGTGCTGGTGAGAGCCGGTGCCCCAGGAGACCCCCGGCCCTGCCCGCAGCTCCCTGGGGCTCACCCGCTGTCCAGGACAAGCCAGCCCTCCTGCTGCAGCGCCCGAGCCTCCCCCGGCTGCCCGAACACAGCCTGCAGGCTGAGCTGGGGGCAGAAGTGCCCCCAGCGCTGTGAGCCCAGGGCAAGAGAAGGATGTTAGTGATGGGGCATCAGCATCCCAGTACCCAAAGGGGCTGCAGGAGAACTGAAGAGCGGCTTTGGAGAAGGGAATGGAGTGACAGCAAAAGGGGTGATGGAAAAGGCAGATTTGGATAAGATATTGAGAAGAAATTCTGTGAGGGAGCTGAGGCCCTGACACAGGTTGCCTCGAGAAGCTGTGGATGCCACATCCCTGGAAATGCTCAAGGTGAGGTTTGACAGGGCTCAGAGCAACCTGGTCTAGTGGAAGGTGTCCCTGCCCACGGCAGGAGGTGAAACGAGATGGGCTTTAAGGTGCCACCCAATCCAAAGCATGACTAGCATCGGATCGATGCGGGGTGTCCCCACAGGTGGCTCCTCACCTCGTGTGTGATGCCTTCATCCGTGCGCAGTCCTAGGGAGAGCAGCTCCTCCAGCCTGTGGGGACACGGAGAGCTGTGAGGCAGCACAGACCGGGACGGGGCACGGGGAGGGACCCCAGTACTCACTGCTCCAGCGGGCTCAGCACCGCCCGGCTCCTGGTGCCGTGTCCCTGGCTCTGCACCTCCCGCATCCAGGCGACAGGCTCCAGGGTCTGCACGCGGGCTTCTCGGCTGTGGCCGCCCTCAGCCCGTGGCACGAAGCGCCCGTGTGCCCCTGCAGCAGCCAGGCAGGGGACAAAGGAGTTCCCAGGGCACATGGCCACACACTCCCCCGTCACTGCCCCTCCATCACCCCCTTACCTGGCCCCACACCGATGTACTGGTCACCGTGCCAGTATGAGAGGTTGTGGGTGCTGAGGGCGCCCTGTGGGAGAGCCCTGGGGTGAGGGTGAGCCTGCTGGGGGACCAGCATGACATTGGGGGTCACAGCAGGGGGAACATCCCACCTTCCGTGCAAAATTGGAGACCTCGTAATGACGGAAGCCAGAGGCGACCAGCACACTCCGGGCAGTCTGGTACATGTCAGCCAGCAGATCCTGGGGGGGTGCAGGCAGCGCCCCACTCCTGACCTGCGCTGCCAGCGCCGTGCCCCGCTCCAGCGTCAGCTGGTACAGGGAGATGTGGTCGTCACAGAGCCCCAGGGTCGCCTCCAGCCGCTGGGCCCAGGCGTCCCGGCTCTGTCCCGGCAGCCCAAACAGGAGGTCGATGGAGGTTCGGCCAGGAAAGAGCCCCCGCGCTGCTTCCACAGCCTTCCGTGCCTCCGCCGCCGTGTGCTCCCGGCCCAGCATCCTCAGCTCGGCGTCATCCAGCGACTGCGGAGGGAGCACGGTGCCCATGGGCTCACGGGGGGCTGCGGGGGCTGCGGCGGGGAGAGCCCCTCTCACCTGGACGCCGATGGAGATGCGGTTGACCCCAGCCGCCCTGAAGCCGGCAAGGTGAGACGCGCTGGTGGAGCTGGGGTTGGCCTCCAGCGTGACCTCAGCCGCGGGAGGAAGGCGGGCAGCGCCCGCCACAGCCTCCAACACCGCCGCCACAGTGCTGGGGCTGGCCAGGCTGGGGGTGCCCCCGCCGAAGAAGACGGAGGTGACGCTGTAGGGCAGAGGGTGGGGAACCTTAGAAACCTCAGGTGGGCACGGAAGGGGCCGGCACTCCGCAGGAGCCCACGCTGCGCACCCACCTGCGCATCTGGCTGAGGCGGAGCAGGGTCTGCGCCTCCCGCACCAGGCAGGCGCGCACGGCCGCCTCGTCCGCCGCCGGCACCACGTACGTGTTGAAGCTGCAGTAGGAGCAGCGCTTGCGGCAGTAGGGCCACTGCGGGATGCGGCGTGTGGGGGACAGCCGTGCCCTCACCCCCAGCCACTCCGCTCTGAGGGGGACACCCCCGGCCCAGTGCATGGACAGCAGTGCCCCCCACCTGCCCCGCAAGGCGAACGACCCGCAGGTGTGACCGTCCGTGTGCACGGCTCGGGGAGCCCTCGGTTCAGGCCAGCCCCGTACACGCAGGGCTCTCCTCGGTGTGCACAACCCCGGGGTCCCACATGCCCGCACGTGTGTGCGAGCCCTAAGGAGCCACATTCACATCACCTGTGCAGACCCCGAGCCCCAGGGAGCCGCATTCACATCACCTGTGCAGACCCCGAGCCCCCCAAGGTGTACACCCCCAGGACCCCGAGTGTGTCCCCACGCGTGTCCCCACGTGTGCACGGCCGTGCCTCCCCGCACATTCACAGCCCGGGTCCCCCCGTGTCCCCGCTCACGTGCACGTAGAGCGCGGCTGTGGCGGGGGCGGCCGCTCCCGGTGCCGCTCCCGGGGCCGCTCCCGGGGCCGCTCCCGGGGCCGCTCCCGGGGCCGGTGCCGCTCCCGGTGCCGCTCCCGGGGCCGCTCCCGGTGCCGCTCCCGGTGCCGCTCCCGGGGCCAGTCCCGGTGCCGCTCCCGGGGCCAGTCCCGGTGCCGCTCCCGGGGCCGCTCCCGGGGCCGCTCCCGGTGCCGCTCCCGGTGCCGCTCCCGGGCCGGCCCCGCCGGGCACCGCCGCCGCCAGGCCCCGGGCGCAGCGCCGCGCCGCCGCCATGGCCCCGCCTGCACCGGGCGGGCCCGGGAAGGGTTTTCCGGAGTTTCGGCGGAGGAAGGTGGCCTGTGCCCACTCAAGTTTTGTGCAAACCCGCAGCTGACGAACCCCGACGTTAGTAGTTGTCTGTGTTCATAGTCACGAGGAACTCTGAAATTCCCATGACAAAGGCTGGGACTGCAGATTCCCGTTTCCAGGCCAGAAACGCGTAGTTGGGTGTAAACCACCCCTGTTGTAACCTTCCCTCTCCGGGGAGTTTCCGAGCAGGCAGCGAGGACTATAAGAGTGGGACTCGGGCACGGGCAGGGCAGAAGCCATTGAGCGAGCCTGGAGCACTGCACGCATGGAGGCTGCACTGGCAGACAAAACGGACAGCTTTTCCTCTTCCGTGAGTATTTACAGCCGGGGATGCATTATCTCAGGGGCTGGGAAGGGGCAGGGGGCACCGCGGGAGGCTGGCGAGGGCTGGATATGCTCTGGGGAAGGCATGGGAGGGTAGGGAAGGCTCCTTTGGTACCAGGCTCTGCCAGAGCTCACACCCATGTTTGGTGCTGCCCCACTCCCAGAACAGGAGCAGAAGTGGGGTGGCAGGGGTTGTTCCCCCTGTGCTGGCTGTGACCACGACCCACTGGTTTTCTTAGCAGTGTGTCTGTCCTCACTAGCCAGGGCTGGTGTCACTGTCATTACTTATCCACTGCCCCCCAGCTACAGCGAGCACATGGGGCACCTGTGGGCAGAGCAGGGGTTGTGCCAAAGGTGGAGGTACTCATCACGGAGAAGAGCAGAAGCTCCACTCGCTGCAGGCCTGCCCTGCACCTGGGTTTGTGCTGTGGGAAGCAAAAGGAGGTAAAGAGTCCTTCCCTAGACATCAGTCACAGAGGCTTTTTGTGTCCCCAAGGTCCCTGGCAACAACTGGTGCCATGCAGGTAACAGTTCTTCCCTTGGGAAGGAAGGTGACAGAGATAACCAGGGAAGGGAGGAGACGTGAGTGAAATGAGGAAGGATCAGTGCTGAAACCAGCCCCACATGCAGTGTGGGAACAGGAGAGGAACTTGCTGGAGCGACACTGACACAAACCATCCACGTTTTGTTCTTTCAGAGTGCAGACGTGGACAGGGGACTTGGCCCCGCCGTCTGCTTCCATGGGTAGAGCCCACAGCCAGCTGTGAGATGAAGGATTGAGACCTCGCTGACACTTCTTCTTTCTCCTCTTGCACTGCCCTCCACCCACCAGAGGAAGCCAAGCATGGAGGGGGGCCAGCCTCAGCTCTGCTTGGAAAGGAAGCAGGAGGGAGACAGCTGGAGGTCAGCGAGAGCTGGCAACAACATTATCTACACTGCAGCTGGCGTGGGACACTTCTGCTGGCAAAGAGGAGCTCTGCCATCCCTCCTCTCCCAGGAGTGTTTCATGGTTGGGAGGTACCAAATAACTCCCGTAAAATGCTGTCCCAGGTACGCTCTGCTTCACACTGCCAATTCTGGGACAGGAATTTTGGTATTTCTGCAACAACCTTACTGTCTTGTCCAAAACAACAAAATAAACAAAGCTGTGTCTATCTTGGAGAAGGGGTTTTTTTTGGGAAGCACCTGGGGGAGGTGTGGGAACAGAATGAGCTTTTCTAGCCAGTTCTAGAGAGCCCCAATGCAAAGTCTCATTCTCTGAAGTGCCTGGCCCTCATTTCAGGGGTTCAGTCACTCCTAAATGATCCAGGAGTCTCACAACATCCAAGGTTGGGATAGGAAACCAGGCTAGGGCATTTGTGTCCATAAAATACCCACCAGCATATGTTCAACTCCTGTGAAATGGCTGCAGCCAAGCTGATCAGAGACACACAAAATTTTTAAACCTTCATAAGGTCTTTCAGTAACTGGACAGAATTCCAGAAATAAACATCCCTTCCTCACACCACAGTATTTCTGTTGGCAAAGAAACAAGTCCTACTGGGAAAAAAAAAAGGCACTTTGTTTTATTGATTAAAAGTGCCATCAGCCTGATGTCAGGGAGGGAAAGTCTCCATTGCATAGCCCAAGGAACAGGTGAAAACCAGACTCAGAGCTGACTGAAATAGGGTTGATTTGTCCTGGTTTTTGCTCTGCCTTCCCAATCTCAGAGCTGCAAGTGCTTCTCCATCTGCTCTCTCAACTTGTATTTCTGAATCTGGAATAGAGGGCAGAGAGCAGGGAGAGAGACTTAGAGAGAGCTGGGACAGAATGCCAGGGTTCCTGCCCTGCCCCAGCCCCTCTTACCTTGCCTGAGACAGTGAGTGGGTACTGGCTCACAAACACAACATAACGTGGGATCTTGAAATGCGAGATCTGGGAAGAGAAAAATTAGGGCTGAAGGAACAGCCTGGCACTGCCAGGGCTGGGTCCCCCAGTGCTCTAAATCCATGGGTTTTCATCCACCAGTCCCCAGCAGCCACTGGGTGTACTGGTCTGGAAGGAAACAGGACTGGGAACCCACCTTCCCTTTGCAGAAAGCTTTGATCTCTTCCTTGGTGCAGTCCTGCCCAGCCCGCAGTCGGATGCAGGCACAGATCTCTTCTCCCATCCTCGAATCCTTCACACCAACCACCTGGTCAGGACAGATGGACAGTGTGACCCTTGGGGTGTCCCTGGCCTCCCACAGGGTCTGTGTGCTGGCTGTGGTGTGTTCCCTGATCCATACCACAGGGTGCTGGAGCATTGTGGATGCAACGTGGACCTGTCATCATCCCTCTGATTCCAAAAAAAAAGGGGCAAGAGGTTTCACAAACAACAAGGAGACAAGCCACGAGTGCCTCGGGATCTCCAGATGGAATGGCAGGGGAGGGATGAGGTTGAATTAAAGGATTATAATCACAGATCTTAGTGGGTCACTGCCTGTGACACCAGGAAATTAGCTTCCCAAGCCTGAGCTCTCTCCAAAGTTTGCTCCCACTATTCCACAAGAATCCTACTGTCATTCCCTGCCTTGAACCACTATCTCCAACTGCTAGAGACACGTTGATCCTTTTGAGTCCAGAGCAGTGACATAAAGCCCTAGAAACCACATAAACAGGGCTGGTTTGCAACCCATCTGCACTGGGACTGTTCCAAAGAGAGATGCTCGCCTGGCACCAGCAGAACTCTGACTAAATAAGCAGTTTATTTATGGGGAGACTTGTCTGGCACAAAACCTGAAGGAGAACAATCCCAGCAGACAGGGAACAGCTGCTCAGTCCTGGAAATCTTTGCTGTCTTGCAAAGGAGTGAAACAGTCTCACTCCTCATCTCCAGGGGCTTGTTGGAAGATTCTTCCTGGATGTCAGAGTTGAGCAATTATCAGTAAAAACTGTCCTTCCAGACTGCTTTCTGAGTAAGAATGTCAGAGGGAGTTATGGAAGTGGACAGTTTAAAACTGAAGAATGACAAGCACTTTGCAGACATGCAGCTGGAACACAAGGAGATTGCCACAATCCATATGCCCCGTGCCACTTCCATCCCATCAGCCTGTCCCTCCTCCTTGCTTACCAATATTACATAGAATTTGATGCTGAAAACAGGGAAAGACAACCAGGTTCCAAGCAGCAATTCCAGAAGCTTTATGTACAGGATTCCCAAAAACAGATTCTCACCCACCCCACCTCCTCCCACTCACCTGGACCTCCTCAACCTTGGGATGGGTGTGGAGGAACTGCTCAAGTTCTGATGGATAGATGTTCTCTCCTCCCCGAATAATCATGTCCTTGCAACGCCCTATAATTCTGCAGTAGCCATGCTCATTGAGGGTGGCGAGGTCCCTGCAATGACAGCACCCTTCTAGTCCTGTCCCAGCTGGCTGGAAGCATGGCTGATGCTCCCACCCAGCCAGGGTGGTGTCAGAGGATAATGGCTGAGATGCCACCTGAGCACATGGAAGAGATCAAAGAGCTCCTCGTACAGAAACTGGCAGCATCCACACCACACAAGCACCAGGATTTATGGGGGAGGCAATGCCTGGCCCTGCCCTGTACCCCTACAATCCCTCCATGCACAAGTGGCCAGTGACAATCCCCCTCTGCAGGGACACTCAGCACCGAGGTCTCTCTGCTAAAAGCAGTTCTGAAGTGTCACAGAGAGATCAGAGGGATAAACTGGGACAGTTTTCTCTACTTTGGAAATCCCAGCCAAGCACTCCTATACACACCCATGCCTCCTCACCCGGTGCCACCCTGTGGGACCATCTGGGAGAAGCTCTCAGACTCACCCTGTCTTGTACCACCTCTCAGCAGTGACCACTTCACTTGTCTTGGCAGCGTCATTCCAGTAGCCCAGCATGACGCAGTAGCCACGGATCTGAAGCTCCCCTGGAGCGTTCAGAGGCACACACTGCCCTGTTTCTGGATCCTCAATTTTTGCCTAGAAGAGAAGAAGGGCTTAGTTGGACATCAGCCCCAGACAGGGGGGATGGAGTGAGGTCTGCTGAGCACCTGGAGCACATGGGAAAGGTCATGGTCACCTCTGTGTGGGGAAAGATGTATCCCACTGTCTCGGTTTTCTGGTCCATGTTGTCATTGGGGAACCCCATGAAGGTGACAGGGCTGTTTTCTGTGGTCCCATAGGCAACCTGCAAGCACAGGAGAGGAAATGTGTCTCAAGGGGAAAGAGGACCACACAGCTTCAGACACAGGAATGACAAACTGGTCATGACTGCAGGGGAGAGTGGGGTGTGAGGAGGATGTTCTCCCAAGCCACTCAGGTGACAGGCAGTCCTGCCCTGCTGGCTGTGGATGGGGCCCTCCAGACACTTCTCCAGAGAGTCTTGGACAAACAGGAGCTAGAGCATCTCTGCACCTGCCTGACACAGCCTTCATCTCCCTCACAGTGCTCCTGACCCCATCATATTGTCAATGCAGGCAAACCCAGTGGGAAGAAATGATGATGTCTGACTCAGTTCAGAAGGCTGAATGATTTCTTTATTATAACTGTGCTATAATACATTAATATACTATATAAAGGAAGATACTAAAACTACAAACCTACTTTCTCTGACTACCAAATCTCACTCACTCCCAACTCGTGACCCTCTCCTGAGTCCAGCCCCAGGTGGGTTGGATTGGCCACCAGGCTCAAACAATCCTCACCAGAATCCAACCAGCAATCACCCCAGGGAAACAATTCTCCAAGCACGTTCCACATGAGAAAAATGAGGAGCAGAAATATAAATTGTTTTCTCTTTCTTTCTCTCTGTGCACCTCTATGAAAAATCCTGAGAGACAGAAATGTCCCTGTTTCCCACATCACCCACAACACCTGGGGTGTCATGCACTTTTGACACCCTAACTGCTGTTCTTGGAGGACTCCAGGGCTTGCCATCCTCTTTTTCAACCCTTGCTTCTCCAAGCCCTGTCCTGTACCACCTCTGCCAGACACCGACTTTGCCTTGGTGCCCTTGCAGCCAGGGTACTGAGTTCACCTTGCATCTCTAGCAACTCAGGGAACAGGACAACACTTTGGGAAAACCCTGGAGCCAGCAGCAGACCTGTGTGGGAGACAGCGTGTCCTGCAGCATGGCTGCTTGCTGCAGATCCTTTTGCAGACATCAGCCCCTGTAATCCTTGTCAGGGCATCACGAGGCTGCTCAACACTTGGCACAGCTGCCCTTACAGACCCAGAGCCTCACAGCAGTACAAAAGCTTCTTGCTGCTAAACCTCCTTCACAGCTAATCCCGATGGCAGGCTCTGAGCCACCTCAGCTGAAGGTCACTTCTCCTCAGAGGAAAATTCCAGTGCTTTATGCCCAGCTCAGTGGCCAGGCTGAGGCAGCAGGAGCTGCACAGGAGGTGCCCTGGGCAGCTCTGAGCTGCACCAACAGCACCATCGCTGGGATTGCTGCTACATCTCTAGCTCCTGGGAGCTGTGTTTCAGCAGTGGGAGCTGCTGGAGCACTGCTCTGGTGTCTCTGGCCCACTCAGAGTAATGCCATCCCAGTAATGTCAACTGTGGCTGCTTTGTTGGGAGAGCATGGCTGTGAAAGGGCTGATGTGGGAAGTATTTCCTCATTTCTCCTGCAGTTCTCCAGACTGACATGTGAGCAGCTCTGACCCCCAGATTGCCCTGGCACCCAGATCTGATCAGTTCCTTCCCAGGTGTGCCTACATGGGCATGGGTTGGGCACGGTGCTCGCCCAACTCCAGGCACTGTGCCCCAAATTAATGTGGAGCTTGGCAAAGGACTATGATGCAGCATGTGAACAAGGATGAAAATATTGTGAATGAGCTGAACACAACACTGGTATGGGGTACAACAGCATGTAATAACACTGGAGCACTTGGCTCTTTCCCCTGCTTGGAGCTGCTGGAGGATCTCATGTTGGGCACAGTCTGTCACAACGGCTGATGCTCTTGTTGACTGCACCAGGGTCAGCATGAATCCAAGCTGGAGCCTGCTTCTACCCAGGAATCTGGAGAAGAACTTCTCCAGGATGCTGCAGGCACCATCTGGTGCAAACTGCTCTGCTTGGAGCCTGGCAGCCCCCAAGGAGCAACTGTGAATAGACTTCTGCTCCCAGACACAAGGACAACTTCCCAGCTGGGTGCAAACCCACAGAGTCTCATGCTC